CTTTGTATGTGATTTGTTTCTTTTCTCTCACTGCTTGTAGAATTTTGTTCTTCTGTTGGATTTCTAGAATCTTAACTATTATATGCTTATATGTAGATATTTTTGTAGCAAGGTTAGTTGGAATACTCTATGCCTCACTTATCTGCATGTCAAGTTCTTTTCCCCTGCTTGGGAAGTTTTCTGCCATCTCTTCTATGAACAGGTTTTTTTTAATGTTGTCTGCCCTCTCTCCTCTTTCTTCATTGACTCTGATTAGTCTTATGTTATTCTTCTTTGCATTGTCTAGCAGCTGCTGGATTAATTTGTCATTGTCCTTTACTATTTTTAAGAATTTTTTTTCCTGGTCACTAATTCCAATCTTATTTTCTATATCTGAAATTCTGTCCTCACATTGGCTCATTCTGCTGTGTCAACTTTCGATGGAGTTTTTCATCTCCTGGAAATCTGTTTGCATCTGTTTTATGGATTCCATTTGTTTCCTATGTTGGGATTGCATCATGTTTCTCAGCTTCTCTATTTTTTTTTCTGTGTCTCCTCTATACTTATTAATCGTATCTTGCATTCTTTACACAATCTTTGCTGTTATCTGAGAAATTGTTTCCCATTTCTTTTTTTCCAGATCCTCTTGTTGCCAGTTCAGGATGACCACGTGGTTGAGTATCAGATTGTTCCATCTTCTTTCCCTTTGGGGTCGCCTTAGGTGATCTGGTTGTCTGGTTTGAGACTTGTTTATGGGTCTTCTCATTTCAATAGATCCGGCCTGATGTTCCTTTATTGAGACCACTTTTGGCTCACCCAGTGGACTTCAATTCTCAGCAAGCCACTGAGCATCCTTTTCTCACCTGCTCATCAGTACACTAATTCCTGACTTCAGAAAGGTGGCCTTTTGGATCTCTGAGCTGACCTTTTGTCTGGGTGGTCTTCTGGCTGGGGTCTGTACACACTTTAGATGGTATCTAGTTGTACCTCTGGCTAGGAGCCCTGTGTACCTTTTGTATGGGAGGGCCTTTGGCTGGGGTCTGTTCACCCCAGTCCCTGTTGTGTGAGCAAGCTTCTAGTTAGGGTCTTGCACACTTACTGATGATATCAGGGTGAACCTCTTTCTATTGCTTGTGTGCCTGTGCAGCTTTTTTCCAGGTGGGCCCTTGGCTTAGGCCAGTGTGGGCCCTTGGCTTAGGCCAGTGTGGGGTCAGGGTAGACTCATGTCTGGGATCTGCATCCAGCTTCATTGTTCTGGTCCACACCACTGGCCCCCCAACTAAGGTGATCTGGTGTACATTTATTGCAGAGTCTTTTCCAGTGTGCTTCACTTCTCATCAAGAAGCCTCAGAGAGGCTTGTGCTCTATATTCTATTGTTCACTTGTGCTCTATATTCAGTAGCTCAGAACAATGTCCTTAATAACTCCTGCAACTCTATGGTGTGGGTTCAGATAATGGCTTGTCACAGATGTGGGGGGGTAGGTGGATGTGCTGCTGATGCCCATGTGGCTCACCTCCTCAGTGCTGGGGGGGGGCTCTGCTCCTAGATACTCAAAGGGGGTGGTATGGCAGCCCAAGAGGCACGTGGCCAGGGAGCTACACATGTCATTGAATGAAAAAGGTGTCAAGGAAGAAATCAAGGAATAATTTTTAAAACAAATAAAAATGGAACCACAGCATAGAAAAGCTGTTGGGTAAGAGGAGTTCATGACCCAGGTGTGGTGGTGCATGCCTGTAATCACAGCATTCTGGGAGGCTGAGGCAGGAAGATCACAAGTTCAAACTCAGCCTGGGCACCTTAGTGACTTTTTTTTTAGTTCTTTATTGGTACATTTTAGGTATACAATTCGTTTACATTGGGTGTCTGTACCTGTACATGATATATCATGGTTCTTATATTTTTCCCCATTACCTGTGCACCCTTCACCCACTCCCCCCTTCCCTGTTTACATAGATTTCATTTCCTTTTTTTTTTTCTTTTCTCATTGATTTTCCTTTCCCTCTTTTCCTTTCCCCTTCCCCTCCCTTCACTCCTTCGTCTTTGGACCATTTTTCCAATTTCAAATTATCAATTATTCATTTTAATCATTTTAACCCTTGTTCACACTATCACTTTCTCACACTAGAGAAACTATTCGGTATTTACACATGTGGGTCCTATTTATTTCACTTAAGAGTATGGCCT